ACTATGGGTAAGAAAAAAAAGCTGTTAAAAATGCTTACGTAATTAAAAATTGCATATACGTAATCTCAGATATTGTGTATTAATGTTGTGCTGATTCATCTCAGACTGAAAAAAGATCCAGCTAGATATCAGTAAACATAATTCACTTTCTTTGGATCACAAAACGTTTTCAATCTCTTATCCGGCGTTAATGTAGAAAATTGTTCCCACTGTTTTAAAGCGTCGAGGAAAGATTCAGTATCTGTCCATGGGTGTAAGAATTATTGCAACAGTTGACTAATTTTGTTGGTTGTTTGATAATGGGGTCTCATGGTTGTGGGTGTTGAAAAGCCTGAAGTGCTTTTGTACTATTTCTCATAAATCGAGAATCTTACTCGACAAAGATGATCACTAAAATAATCGATCGATTTTTGCCTCAATCTGAAGAGAAATATGGACAACATTTCAAATGCTTATTGATATTTGCCTTGGCTTTTTGCCTTTTTAGCCTACTTCTAAAAACCCTCACTGGAATGTATGGCCTCAGGGGCCAAGTGGATCATTTTAAAGTGGTAGGGCTTAAAAATGTGGCCAAGGCAAACAAGCATTAGGTGTCACTGTTCCGCTATTATTCATACATTATCCACGTCATCAAGAGCCCTAACGAATAAACCTAAGCAAAAAAGTGGTAGGGCTATAACCCTACCAGCCCCTGCCCTTCCGCGTTCCCTGAGCCTTCCTATGGATTCTCCCAAAGCACGAAAACAAGTTAAATTAGGAATGCTTTCAATTTTTGATTGATGTCAAACTCTGGAAAGCAGTATCAAAGACGACAAAACACTTACAAGAGAGAAATCAAAACCCCGATTAACTTTTTACCATCCATGCTATGAGCTTTTTTGGGTGGCTTCTGCATAAGCAGGCCAAGCATACTGTTGGTCTGCTGCTGCTTAAACGAGGAGGTACCGAAAATCTGGTCGTTGGTCCTTTATTTTATGAATTGACTTCTGTGTAGCACATTCTTCATTTAACTAACTTAGCTAATCCATGGACACGTTCTTAAATACCATATCGGTAGCTATGTGTGGGCAACACGGACAAATTGACCTTGGAAGATTCAACTTACTTTTTTGAATTCTAACCCAAACACTATCATGCGACTTCCAGAACCGAACTACAAAGTTCTTGAAACAAGCAATAGAAGCAAGCGTTTAGAGATCCAGAAACCTAATGAGGATCTTTTGTGGGAGATTCAAACCAACGCCAGTAGACGAACCCAAACATGACCATCGATTGGATATTGTTCCGAGCTTAAGTACTCTGAATAAAACATGATAAACAACTTGAAGTCAGGAGACTCTCTCTGTGGGCAGTCGGCCCTAGAATCACAAGACTAACGCGGTAACAAAATGATTAGAAATTAATGATAACCAGGCAAACATACTAAATTCTATAAAAATTATTGAGCTTCATAACAATACCATAGTTTCCCACTTCCCGCTGATAATTTCCGAATATAAAGAATAAAGGCCAGTCTGAGTAGTTGTATTGTTACTTTTATATCGACGACCAAATACAAGGAAATATCAGTTGTTGTATATAGGTATTATAATTCTATTCGGTATATCAAGTCACTGACCTGATATGGGCTAATGTAAGAGGGATTTAAATCCATCTGGGTTATATAGACATAATAAGAAAGTACTAAAATTTTTAATCTATATCGGAGGTAAATTTAACCAATCTATACTTAACTCAGGGTTAGATAAAGCGATAAAAACGAACGACGTTTCGACCTCTCCGAGGTAATTTCCAAGTTCAAGTAAAATATAAAATAGTATACACATATAAAAAAGTCTAAAAATTTAATGGGAATGTAAAAACCTTAAACTTAACATATATAATGATCTAAACAAATAGCTTCGCACAAATTGAGTCACAAAAAAAAGTTCCTAAATAAAAAGCATTTCAAAGATGAGGCAATCCAGTTTGTTCTTACACTTTCTTAGAATGTTAAACTTTTCATAATGTTGTCTGATTCAATGCCGTGCTAGTTCGAAACGTCGTGACGTCGTTCGTTTTTATCGCTGATTTTTATTACCAAATATTATAGCATTGCAATATTAATTATTTTAGAATCGTAAATGTTCATTTTTTAGCATTTTAGTCTCGTTTAGTGTCATCAAATAGTCCACTAGGGGTAAATACTTTGACGAAACTTAAATAAAGTTTCTTATGTTACCTTATACTTATCATTAAAACTACTGCTGTTGTTATACAGTGAACACCGGAAAAATAAGATTAAGACCATCAGATTGATAGTTGGCCAATAAAGCACTATATATATATGAGAAGCAATTCAGCCTTATAAATTTTAACATGTTCTTATATAAAAAGAAAGTTCTACGGTATTATATCAGAAATAGTATTTATTTATGTGCTTTATTTATATAGAATGTATTTTTGCTGTGAGTAATAAACTGCTTTCCAAGAACGCCGTACCTCTAATCTGATCTAATAAGCGTTTGGAGATTTTCGAACATTGTCAAATGTAAGATTCGCTTGTCTGTCATTTTGGAGTGGATCTCTCAGGAAAACAACACTTAAGCTCGGGGACTTTCTAAATTTATGCATGATAATGGCAAATTGTTATTCTTGGGATTGTCAAACAAAAAGTCGTCATTATACTAGACCTTATGACGTGGTCAGTCCTTCGTCGTCTGTAATGGAAAAGAAAAAGGCTATAAAAAGGAAAGATTTATCCTAGCAAGCTTATACAACTTAGAGGACATAAATAGGCAAGATCTCTTCGAGCAAGCCGATATAACTTAGTGAGCACATAAATACGCAACATCCAGTGTGTGTTCTTTCCACAGTGCGCAGTTCTTTTCATGCAGTTGTTGGAAAGCTAGAAACTCAAACACAGCTCACCATGAGACTTTGGCTTGTCATTGCTGTCGTGTTGCTGATTATTCAGTGTCAGAAAGGTTAGTTGAAGATACTTTTAAGTTAGGTGCTGTTTAACAGACTGTTTCAACAATTTAATCATCGACAACACACTTGTTGTAGTAGACCCCAATTAAGAATTTACCAGAGAAACTCGATAAAACTGAAGAGAAAAGAACTGTACTTTCTCATTTATCTCTCTTGTAGCAGTTTGATGAAAAGTATACTAAAACAACAACTGACAGAGGGCAATAGATTGATTTTCGCTTGAGTGTCGTAAAACCAAAAGCAAACCAATTACTTACCACCTAAGCAACTCGGCCAATCTCAAGCCGTAATAAAACCAAAACCAAAACAAAAGTGATTTACTGATTACTTGTAACACTCAATTGAAAATCGCTCAGGAGAGATAAGTGAGACAAGACCTCAGTTCCTCGATGCGGAAAATAGTTTTCATTACACTACAGAATCATGCCTGGCGCAATTTGAAAGATTCAGAAAATTTAGGGTTTCTTTTAGCCAGATCAAAAGATCATGGCACTTATTTGATAAAATAAAAAATGGATAGGCAAGTTACTGTTCAGAAAAAAAATGTTTGTATTATGGAGCAACGCGAATCATATGAATCCTGTCGTTGAAAGCATTTTTGCCAAGCCGAAAAGTCTTTTTCAATCCGGCAGACTTAATTTCCTGGTTATATATGTCCTGCGCAGTAACGTGAAAATAATATTTCGAAAGGACGCTGCCATTCTTAAGGGCCCATTAACCGATTTTTTCGAGCCATTGCTAGGGAAAATTTATTCTCATATAACCTCGTCATTTTTAGTTACTTCAGAGTTATTTCATGTGTTTTAACTTTCTCATGATCAGCAACACTAGTGATGACGTCATCAGGCCACGCCCATGGTCATGTGACTCATTCTGAAAAAACGCAAAGGCTCCCAGGCAAATTACTTTGTCGGAATTTTTTTCATTGACTTAATATTTTAATTTAAATCCTCATTACGCTATGCATAGATTCTGTTTCATTTCTAAAAAGTCAGATTATGAGAGAATTTCAAAATATTAAAAAGTTCGTAATTTTCTGAAAAAAGCATGATTTTGAAAAAGAAATGCATAGCTATGTTTCCAACGTTGGCTTT